TGACCAATGACCAATGACCACTGACCACTGACCAATGACCACTGACCAATGACCAATGACCACTGACCAATGACCACTGACCACTGACCAATGACCACTGACCGCTGCCCCCACCGCTGACCGCTGCCCCTTGACCCCTCCCAGGCTCGGAAGAAGAACGCCGCGCCGTCTCCACCGCCACCTCGCACGGCTCCCGCCCGCGCCGCCGCGCTCCGGCCGCGTCCGGCGAGGTCACCATGACGGTGGCCGCCGTTACGGCCGTGGCCGGAGCCCCCCTGGAGCTGAGGGCGGAGCTCCGGAACGGGGGGGCGGAGCCTCGGACGCTGCAGCTCCGCCTCTCGCTCTGCGCCGTGCGCTACACCGGAGTGGCCGGAGCCGCCTTCCGGCAGGAGCAGCACAGCCGGACGCTGCCGCCGGGACAGGGTGAGGGGTTGGGGTGGACTGGTTTGGACTGGTTTGGACTGGTTTGGACTGGGAGGAAAAAATTGGGGAAAAAAAGGGTTAAAAATGGGTTAAAAACGGGGAAGAAAGGGTTAAAAAAAGGGTGTTTGGGGTTACTGGTTTATACTGGTTTATACTGGTTTGTACTGGGAGGGACTGGGAGGAAAAAATTGGGGAAAAAAAGGGTTAAAAATGGGTTAAAAACGGGGAAGAAAGGGTTAAAAAAAGGGTGTTTGGGGTTACTGGTTTATACTGGTTTATACTGGTTTGTACTGGGAGGGACTGGGAGGAAAAAATTGGGGAAAAAAAGGGTTAAAAATGGGTTAAAAACGGGGAAGAAAGGGTTAAAAAAAGGGTGTTTGGGGTTACTGGTTTATACTGGTTTATACTGGTTTGTACTGGGAGGGACTGGGAGGAAAAAATTGGGGAAAAAAAGGGTTAAAAATGGGTTAAAAACGGGGAAGAAAGGGTTAAAAAAAGGGTGTTTGGGGTTACTGGTTTATACTGGTTTATACTGGTTTGTACTGGGAGGGACTGGGAGGAAAAAATTGGGGAAAAAAAGGGTTAAAAATGGGTTAAAAACGGGGAAGAAAGGGTTAAAAAAAGGGTGTTTGGGGTTACTGGTTTATACTGGTTTATACTGGTTTGTACTGGGAGGGACTGGGAGGAAAAAATTGGGGAAAAAAAGGGTTAAAAATGGGTTAAAAACGGGGAAGAAAGGGTTAAAAAAAGGGTGTTTGGGGTTACTGGTTTATACTGGTTTATACTGGTTTGTACTGGGAGGGACTGGGAGGAAAAAATTGGGGAAAAATTGGGGAAAAAAGGGTTAAAAATGGGTTAAAAAAGGGGGGAAATGGGGGAAAAATTGGTATTTTTATACTGGTTTGTACTGGTTTATACTGGTTTGTACTGGTTTATACTGGTTTATACTGGTTTATACTGGTTTATACTGGTTTATACTGGGAGGGCCAGGACAGCTCCAGCCCTGTGATGTCACACACAGGGATCACCCCAGGACCCCCCCAAAATGTCCCCAAATGTCCCCCCCGTGCCTCAGTTTCCCCCCCGTGCCTCAGTTTCCCCCCCGTGCCTCAGTTTCCCCCCCGTGCCTCAGTTTCCCCCCTGTGCCTCAGTTTCCCCCCTGTGCCTCAGTTTCCCCCC